AATAAGTTACTGCGTTTGAAATTTAGATTGTATGTAAAAATGCTTTCATTTTATGAGATATTTTCAATTTCTAATGTACCTACTTGACAAAAAAATTTGTTGTTTTATGGGATCACCCCCGGTGGATGGGTGCATTCAGTTTTGTCCTTAAATGTCATAAAAATGAACCAATCACTAGGTCAAAGGTTAAGGTCAATCTTAGAGGTCAGTAAAAAATGCTTGTCCAGAACAAAATTTAATCTATGAAGGGATTTTAATATTGCTTGGCACACCATTGTGAGACTGGGTGTCATATAGGTCCCAGTGGTCAAGGTTACCGAAAGAGTTCAGATACAGATAGAAATATAAAAATGTGTGTACAAACAAGTTAGAAGTCTTTAATATCATGAATGTTGTCACTTTCATTAAACTGAGTATCCCGGTCAGTTTGTGCAAAGTCAAGGTCTCCAGAGATGATGAATTGTCCAGACTTTGTCCAGAGTATATCTTTTACATGCACAAGAAATAAAGTGTTACTTCAAATGTAAATTACAATGAAATGTAGTGTTGTACTGTGCATAAACCAGATCAAGTTCACAGTTGCAGGTCAGAGGAAAACACCTTTTTGTAACAAAGCTTATACATACATTGAGGGATTTAATATGTCAAAATGTTCACCATTGTGAGACAGTGTCATGTGCAATAATCTGATCCCTGGGGCCTTAGGTCAAGGTCTCATGCAGGTGTCATAGGTCAGATACGAAGCATTATTTATTTATCATGAATTTAGAGATTCTTATATAAATATTTACAATCATGATACTTATCATTTTGATTGGTGTATTTGTGATAATTGCATATTTTTATTCAAATATTTTATAACTAGAAGCTGCATTTTAAATCATGACCTTCAATTATATTTTATTGTAACAATTAATTATTAAATTTCAGGGTTGCAAATTTTAAATCAAATTAAGCAAAATAATTAGTTACTAATATGCCATTTATATCTGAGGAAGAGATTTTTGTTTGCCAGATTAGCACAAAATAAAAGCTTCATAGATTTTTTGTGTCAAGAATAATTGTGTTACCAAAGTAACAGTTTTAATGTTAATATTAAGCATTACATTTTGTTAAAGTAAGCTGCACACAGTTTGTGTAGATATTTTTGCTTATAATGCATTTTTTATTCAAATCAAGCTGCACACAGTTTGTGTAGTTTTAAATCATGTGTAATATCATAAATAAGCAAGCTTCTTCAAGTTGTTGTAAAACTTTAAACAACAGATTGGTGTTATGCGGTTAATCAAATTTGAATAAAAAAAAAAAAACAACACCTGTATACCAGTCCAGCTGCTGACATTTTAAAAGAATCCAATTATCATATAGTGTTTGTGCTGCTTTATTATACCTGTGCTCAATTTTCATGCCAGATTATATTGATCCAGTCTCTTTTATATAGTTGCAACTGTTACATCATCCTTCTGCAATGTAATCTATGGGCTAAAGATTGTAGTTAATTGTCAAATCTACATTAACTTCCCATCAGACAAGCTTTATATTGATCTGTTTGTATACAATTTAGTTTTATATTAAAGTATGACACAGGTAGATTTCATAATCCGATGCATATACTAAGCCATTTTCTTGGCCAATCCCTTAATTTTTTTTACAGGCTTCATCTGTTAAACATTGTGTACAGGTATTCAAAGTCAATTATTAAATATGTATAATATATGTCAATTATTAAATATGCATATACAAAAGAAAACTTTGACCATACCATTCTTGAAAGTGGAAGGATGATATCTCTAATAGGTGAAATTATTAAGCCAGAAGGAACTGTAAAGACTTCAGGGCATTAAACTGTCATTCCTTGCCTTGTCATTGTGTAAAAAATTTGAACCTTTCACAACCATACTTGCAAAATGTTCAGTCAGAAATATCATACTAAAACCATAAACCTTTTCTTGCATAAAAGGGTGACTGTTTTCATTAAAGTCAATCTGGAAAATGAGGGTGCTCTCACATGAGCAATAAAAACAGAGAAAAATGTAAAAATTGCCGAGTTTTGTTTTAATGAGTTCATTAGATATGGTTGGTCCAGTGCAACATGTAAAGTATGCAGGGCAAATCTAAATACCTTTAGCTGAAGCATATCACCATTGCATAAGAGCATAAACCACCTTAACTTCTTGCTAATGACAAATGGCTGTCTTTAATGAACTTCTCAAATCCTTGTATGAAAATGTATGCCTCGGCTTGACTGAAATCATCACCAGTCAATGTAATATATATATAAATCATGACCTTCCTTACAAAAGAATGTGACTTTCTTATTATTACAAACATTCACATTTCCTTTTATTGGAATAATATGAACCATACCTGGTGTCTTTTAGAAAAGGCAATTCTCCAGATTCTATATGATCTACTGCCAAGTAGATATAATGATATTAATCTTTCGTAATATATAGCAGTCTGAAATATTGTCTCTAAAAGTTATAGTAAGAAATTACAGAATAAAAAATTGATGTTATAAGAACAAAGTGCAATGTTTTGCCAATCCTGTGAGCTATTTTCATCAGGTATATTAAGCATGGCCTTGACATTAAAGAATTCAGTGTCCACACATTGAATATTTGTTAGTGATCACATGAATTCTCTTACCTGATTGGTTGAGAGGGGTCTGATGTTCTGATAAAAAAAATATGTGCAAGTTATATGCTATAATTTTAATAATACAACAAAAATTATAGGATTAAATTTACAAAAACATTATTTTCTTTATTACCAGCAACAAACATGGATGCAATTTCATCTTTGTGAACCTTTATTTGGACTCCTAGTAACATTGTTTATGCCCATGCGCTGGTGACATTAGAACAGAATCAAGAGGTCTGTGATTAGTGTAGTCAATCCCTTCTGTGTTAATGTAAAGTTATATTTTACAGGTAGTATAGTTTGTGAGTTGTAATAAGAAAGGTATATATTTATAGCTGCATGCCTCCAGATGAGTCAAAATATGTCAATAAAATCAAGCTTGAAAAAAAAGGACTAAGATTTTTTTTTTTTAATAAAAAGATTCAAGAGTCAAATAGTATGTTTCATGTTATATTCGATTGTTGATTGATTTGTGGTATTTATCACCATATTTCTACTGTGTGACTAACACAGTAATGATCATTTTTGTGCATATTTTTATAGTTTTTTGGTAATTTATGTGGATTGTGGGTGCTGTTTGCAATTAACAATATTTTAATTTTAAATACATTTTCAAAATTTTCATGAAAATTAGTATAAATCTAGAAGCATTGCTGCCTTAAGGTCTTTCATACATGAAAGATATTTTTTGTAGTGAAATACTGGCATATTTAGAAACACATTGAATACTGTGGTTTGTGCAAATGTCTCTGTATAGAACTTCTCCTAAATGACAGCATAGAAATATCATTTCTAAATATAATAACACTCTGATCAAGCCCTGAAGACTAAATGGAAAATGTAATTTGATTTCTTCTTGTATAAATAACTTGCTATATTTATGTAAGAGAAACCTTAGTTATTGATTGTTAAATTGTAAAATATGTTTATGATATAATATAAATAAAAGTATAGAAAGCTAAGTCATTCCTTGGGCAATGTTAAAAAATGACAGGTTATCTCTATTTCATTGTCTTTAATGTTGTCTGTGTAGTGTTTGCATTGCTGAACAAAAAATAGGTCAATGTAATAGAAAAATAGGTCAATATTGATAAAAATAGGTCAATGTAAATTAGGCAATATAAACAAAAAATGTGTCAATATAAAATTAGGCATTATGAATTAAAAATAGTCAGTATAAATGAAAAGTTGGTCAATATAAATATATATATGTAAAAGATCATACACATAGTCTAAGAAATCTAATGTTACTTGATTTAATGCCTATTAGTATATGATTGAACCATTAAAGGTTGACCCCAACCCAATTTTGTGTATTAACTTGTAAAATACAGATCTTTATAGCTCTTTAGATGGTTTTACACAACTTCTTCACAAAGGAAAACATTAGGCTAACCTCATGGATGAAATAATAACTTAAATCACAGGTGACAATGCCAGTAGGACCAATCAAACTTTCAGATGTATTTCCTACATTAGAGGCTTTATAATTCAGATAAGGTATTGGATTCTATGCCCTAGATTACATCTTTAAGATCATAAGAATTAAAACTGGTGTCTTCTTTCTAATGAGACTGTCTTTGTGAGAATTGATCACCAGAAATATTATACTGTACAACATATACTGTACCACATACACTATACAACAGTTTTTATGACAAACTTGTTTGCAAAAAACTATAATAAGAGATATCTAAGCTAAAATATATTAAATTTACTGAATGAAATTTGTGGGACATTATTTGTTAAATATTCTAAATTAAAGATAACAGGGTAAGAATTGTAATAATTATGGTTTTGTTGCCAAGTCAGGTAAAAAATGGAACCAAGAAATGTATAATTTTGCCAAAGAAATTACAATTATTGAGGAAGGAAACTTTACATGGAAGATTTTGCTTTTATAATGTAAAATAGATGTTACAAAATGAATTGATCTCATGAATTTTTTTTAATAAAAATATTTTTTTCATGTTTTTTTTGTTGTGTATTTTGCATGTGATATACATGTATGTTTTTAAGAATAAAATTTCAATCAGTATAACATGATTTTATAAAAAATTTTAAAAACTAATGGTACACGTATATACATGTTTCATAAATGGTCATGAGGTTGGATTCCTTCCGTTTTTACTCAATCCAAAGAATATGAGAAACCTCGAGAATATGAGAAATAGGGACATGTACTAATGGTTTAGTTGCATAAAATTATCTCCCTTGAATTGTTTCCCAGGCAGACACAGCATTTAGGTTACAAAAAACTTAACAACAATATGAAAATTAAACTGAAGTATTTTTTTCTTAAAGATTGTGTACAATTATTTAATTTTTGTTTAACTTCCATTTCTTTTTTCTTCCAGATTATCCAATGAGAGTATCCAACGAAGGAAAGAGACATAACTCATACAGTACTATTTTTTCAACATGAAGTTGTGTTACTCCCCTTGGAACTCTCATTAAAGAAGGCAATAATTCAAGGATCTACATATCAAAGAAGTAAAATAAAATTGTTCCTTGTTTTGCAAACATTGTTCATTGCATTAAACCATTTATTCAGTGTGAAACTATGAAAACTTAAGATGGAAATACTTAAGGATAAAACAGTTGTCAACTAGTGCATTAGGAAGTTTATCTAGGTTCATCATTTCAGCTACTTGTGTAGTATTTGATACAGTGATTATACTCTGTGCTTACATCCTTGTTTTTGCTGTGTTTTTAGTATGAGAAAATATTTGTATGTCTATACTTGTTATTTACATGTATTTTGTTTACAGCAAAGTTGTCATGACTCAGAAATTTTTATTGATTTAGGGTTTTATATAATAAGATATGTTATATTTTGATATTTATACTTGCTACAGCTTCTTCAGATATTGTTAGGCCAAAATGAAATGATATTCAGGTTCGGGTAACAACCTATAAATAAATAAAGTATATTGGAAGGGAATTTTTTATGCCCACACTTTAAAAGCGGAAAACATAATATGATTTGGTGGTCTTTACATCTGTCCGTCTGTCTTTCAGTATTTGCACATGTCCCATTTTCTTTGTTTGTTTAGCAACTTAAGAAGGTATAAGCTGTGATTTATCAAATTTGGTAGGGACGTTGCTCATGGCTAGAAGATGACCCTAATTGATTTTGAGGTAATTAGGTCAAAGGTCAAAATCACAAGGACACTTCATGTAAAATCCATGTCTGAGCAGTAACTTGAGAAGGAATAAGCCAAAGTTTGTCAAACTTAATAAGGACATTGCTGAGATGGCCAGTAAATGACTGATTTGCATGCATAAAACATAAACTGATTTTGAGGTCATCAGGTCAAGGTTACAGTGACACTTAATGTGAAATCTTTGTCTACTCAATGACTTATGTATGTGAAACTTAGAAATTATTATGTTATCATTATATATATATATATTTTTACATGTTGATATAACACTTTACCTCCTTTTAAATATGGATAAATACGTAAAATAAGCTATTGTGACTGGCAAATGCAATGGGGGTATAAGTGTACTAGGGACAGATTTCTTGTTTTTATCATTGTTAATTATTATTTGAATTCAATGCTTAACCAGAAAGAAGTTTGTTTGATTTTTTACTTTAAATAATGTTTGGGGGCTATGTTGGTAACACAGAGGTTTGTTTCTAGAATCTCATTTTCATTTTGTTTTAGCCTTGTATTTGTCAGTGTCAAAATTACAAATTTATTGCTTATATGGTTTGGATAACTTAACTCCTTTTTGATTTTTTTTATGAATTAATATCACATGTTAACATATAAGGGTGCTATTTCAATAGGTATGAAATTAAGTTAACATGGCTATTGGTATATATATATTGGTATTGGTATTAAAAAAAGATTATTTTCTATGAATGAATGAATGGGAATATATTTTTGTGGTTTAATTGAGATGTGAAATGCTGTTTTGAATCACTGATTTTCTTGTTATAATACAAGCTTGTAATACAACAAGCAAATGGGATGACTAGGGCCTGACTTCCATAATCAATTAAACTTATTTTCACATTACTAAATGAAGATAATTTTTTTTTGCTGATTTACATGTTTTTAGTGGATAATTGAAGGATAAGTATACAAATTTAGGGAAAAACAGAAAACAAAAGTTATAACACCTATCTGTAATGAAGTAAACTTCCTTATTATGTGTATAATATTATATAAAACCATAGGATTATAATTATTAACAGAAATTTTGCATACTGGGATTCATTCCATACTTTACCATATTTAATATTTTTGAAAATTCAGTAATACAGTTAAGCAATATAACTTCCACACAGTGGATGTATTTTATATATAATTTTTCCATCAAGACGCAGCCTTGTGGTGATATATCATGATTATGATCCATACATTTAATGCACTTGGCTTGTTGAAAAAAAAAAATACATTAATGTATGTTCTCTTTATGGTTAGATGAGATTAAAATTAGTGACCTTGTGGAGTTTGTACTTTTTATTCAGACAAGACTGTTGGTATAGGATAAGCTGTAAAATAGCTTTATTGTGATGTATAGTTTATAATTGTCATATTATTAAGACAGACAATTTCTATGCTTTTCTTGTTTGTCTCCCCATTTTCTTATGTATGTGTCATCACATTGTCAAGCATTAAATTGAAGTCACAAGCCAATAGGTTTTGCCAAATTGCAAATGTTACAGTCTGCAAAGTTGTATTTTACTGTCTTTCAAAAGTTGTTGACTTGAATAATTGTGAGATGTATACGCATAACATAGGAAGTTATTTAAGCATAACAAGTTTTGGTTGACTGTATACATAATTATTTATGTGAATTTATTTAAATCTTATATTTTGTTTACATTAATTATCCAAATAATAGCTCTTAGTTTTCACTAGATATATTATACACTAAGCTTATTTGTATATAACATGTTAAGTTAAATAATATTCTTATTATAATAATAAGATACTTTATATTCACACACTATTTTAAGGTTTTTAGTTCCAATTGTATATAAAAGGCACTATTTTGAAATGACAAAAACATAAAAATGAAAATTCTGGAAAAAGGGGAAATCATAAACTAAAATCAGTAGGTCAGTTACTTAAGTTTAAGTCTGTTAGTGACAGATCACAGCATCTCATATTTTTTCTCGAAATAAAATCTTTGAAAATTTTATTTCAATATTGAACCATGTAAAATCTCAACCAAGCATTAATTGAACCCATTAAAATACAAACCAAATGTTTTAAAATCTCCTCAAGACTGGTTAATTATTTTGCGTAAGAGTAGTGAATAGTTGCAGGAAGTATTCAAGTAGAGAATTAAAATGGATGATTTTTAATCTTTATTTTACTGGTTCTTTGTGATAATTTATTCCATTTAGTGTCAAAGATTGAATGCATGTACTACATAAGTCAGTGCCAGTGGCTGTGAAAGATGTTGCTCTGTCCTTAACATCTCATGAACCGACTCAGTAAATTAAAGGAACTCCACTGTGGTTCAAAAGCCTAAAATCATAAAAATAAATTTTCACAGATCAGCTGGGGCATGTAAAACAGGAAGACATGCAAAAAATAATTAAGAAATATACTCAGAAATGAATTGAAAAGCGTATGATTTGAGTCAAAAGCGTTTAACGCTTTTCAATTTTGGGTCATTTTTGACAATGTGAATAATTATCCTGGAAAAAACCGCTAGAGCCAATGATCTTAAATTTTGCACACAAGTTACTGATCTAAACATACATCAAACAGAGCATCAATCTCGAAAATTTATTTCCAGTCTCGTCATGTCAAAATAATGTTTTCAGCCACATGTTTTTTATGATTTTTTTGTTGTTGTTTCATTACTTTAGAGTGCCCCTTAGAACATTAGTAATAGACCGACTATATTAAAATCATTGTTTGTATTGCTTTAATGACCAACCGGACATTCCACCTTGTATACCTGCTATTTGTATATTACCCTTAATTATCATACAATTACCTATCACTCATATTATATGACTTTCAAAATGGAAGTCTTTTTGAATTCTCTTTTCAATCTTTCAATTGTTTTCAAACAGCAAAATGACCTCTATAATAAACTGTAATATGTCTAGTTATAATTTTGATATTTTGTTTGCTTAAGTAATTAAGTAATTTGTCTGCAAAAGGGCTGTCACAAGAAAATTAAAATCTTGAAATTTATACACCAATTTTATGAAAAAAAATCTTAAAGTAAAGTTAATCATTTGACATTGAATCTTTTTAAGACTGTATTTTTCTATATTGAAAGATTAAATGAAATACTTCATAGTAGGGCATTTATTTGAATAGTTATTTCATTTGGTTTCAATAAAACTGATATGAAGATTATCATATTTGAAGTGTAGCTATAAATTTGTAAAGCTGGTACTTTAATGCTTCAGCTAATTTTGATAACAGGTAAAGAAAGAAAACGTAAAATATTTTTTATCTTTTAATGTCCACCAGTTTAAAATTCTTTTAAAATTTCCTCTCATGAAATTAGTATGTATAAACTGTCTGAAAGTCCTTAATATTGTTTTGTTACTGTTTTAATATCTTTGTTTTAATTGTTTATAAATATGTATTGTATTGTAGCTCTTTTTACATTAGGTTTTTCATATTAAAAGCCAATGAATTGTGTAGTGCGGGATATATGTATGTGGTCTTAAAAGAGGTCACAATTAGAATTGACCTTTCAGGGTCTGTTTTTAATTGCTTAATTCTTAATTCTTACACTTTTTGCATTAGTACTGAAGGCCAAATATACTTGTATTTGTGAAAATTGACATTGCTTTTTTCAATCACCTATTGCCCTGTTTTGTCTTCCAGTCCATTTAATGTGTTATTGAATGTTTGAAATAAGTGTGTAATTTTATAATGGATTTACTCAGTGATAACCATAAAGTGCTAAGCAGATTTGTTTTATTCTGTAAATATAAATGTAGAGGACTTTTTGTAATCTTTAATTAATATTATGATTATGTGTGTTTGTGGCTAACCTGAGTTTTAAAGTGCTCAGTTTTGAGCTGTAAGGATCAATTAGGGTCTGTTTTTAATTGCTGCCAATTGGTCTTATAATACTTCTTGGATTAGTACTGAAGGCCAAATATACTTGTATTTGTGAAAATTGACATTGCTTTTTTCAATCAAGGATCAATCAATGGTCTATAATATTTCGCCTACTCTTTTGGTGTTGTTATAAAAGTCTTGGTTGGATCTTCATTCAACTTTTTAAAATTAATACATGTTGGACAAATCTGTGTCATCAAGCTAGATTACATTGTCAAATCAAAGGAAATACTTATTAACATTATGAACTTGGCTGAAAATAAGTGTTAAATCTGGATGATTTTAAGATAAACAGAAGTAATCAATTCAGAATTGAATTCAATTCAAGCAAGCTAATGCTCTTTAAGGTGCATGTACGCCGTGTATGTCAGCTTTAATCACTGCTGTTCAAGGATCACTGGAACATTTTCATATTTCCCGTCTTTGATGACCTTGAATGATGACCTTCAATGTTTCCATTATGACCTGATGTTTCCTAGAAATAAGATTTCCTAGAATTAGGATCTTATAATTGAATATTTAAAAGACATCCCTTCTTTTTAAAATACATAATTCTTAATATTGCAAAAATCAATGAACTTATATCTTTGCAAAATCACCTAGAAACATCGTATGTTTAATAGCAGAATAGATTCTACTCCTGTAGCATTTCCAAGCCTTCAGTATAATACTATTGATCCATTAGTGAATTGATTTGTTTAGCAACAAAGAACCAAGCCACTGAGTACTTGTAATAAACATGTTTGTAGACCTGCTACATATTTTGCACAGTCTAAATCGATCTATGTTATTTTGTTTATTCTAAATTTATGATAAATAAATATGCTGAATGGATGTTTTCTTGTATAAAAAATAGATATACGTATATTTGATACACGAAGAGTGATATAATTCAGGTTGACAACAACTGTTTTCTTTTGTTTTATGAAAATATTAGAGTATCGGATTAGTATCATTTGGATGTGTTTACAAGTACTCTACAGGGATATGATATTACTAAGGTGCAGTCAAACAAGTCGAGTACCTGCGCATAGTTACCAACAGACCATGAAAATAGTTTCGCTTTATTTTTTTCCTATACACGGCGACCATTTAAATGTTACATGTTTGGCTTACGTCTGCAATATTATAACTTTGTTTTGAATCATAGTATTTTGAATCATAGTATCACTTTAGTTTCAAGTAATTTATGATAAGATTTTTTTACAAAAAGAAAACCAATAGAACTCTGATTTTACCAGAAATTTAGATCAATATTAAATGAGAAGAAACATTGCCATGGCATATACAATGTATGTGAAACCTAAGCAGTTACTTTTAGGAAGCTTTTTTCGCATGCATATTACAAACATTGTATTGTTAAAACAGGAAAGTTTTATCTGCTTTAAACCAGTGTCAATGTCCGCCTTCCACTTTATGTTTTAACCAATGAAAATGTTATTTGGTAACTTTGAAATGTACTTGAGAAATTGTCCTTGCACTTGTAACATACAAACTTGTACGTGTCTAGAAAATATTGTGAATAATTAATTGTTTTATGAAAAACCATTAATTTTATTCAGTTATTTTATGAAATATGTGATTTTCTGTATGAAAGTTATAATGTACATGTATCTCCTTGTTATGTTATTTATGCACTTGACCTGTTTTGCCATTATAAGCCTCGTATTTAACTATATATCTCGTTACCTGAGATGATATACAACTGTAACTGAATCTCATTATATTCTCATACCACTGTTAATATCATATTTTTGAAATAAATTTAATAAAAACATGAATAAATTTGTTACGTGATTGTTTTTATAAAGGAAAATTATGCGTCTAAAATTAAATTTAATAAGACACACATGCCTCTTGTCATTTTACGAGTACAAATTTTAACTCCAGGAAAAAAAAATTGTCACAAATATTGAGGAAAATAAAACGGAGACAAATTTTCACATATTCTATACTTGCTATGTGCAGATTGTGAGCAGCATATTACGTAGATATGTGTATATAAGTACATATAATTGTTAGTACATATAGTATTGTAAACATTGGCTTGGTGTAGTCCAGGGTAAGTAGAAACGCAGAGAAGAGTACTTTTTATGCATTACTTATTAATGAAACCATAGCCGAAAACGTTAAAAATATGACATGCGTCTAGATATTCACATTTGTTTCGTGTTTATGCATACAAAATACATTTCAGTCTATTTACTTGTTGCTATTGTTTATTGACAAAAGCAACGCGCTGTGTAGCTTCATTTTATTATCGGTCAAGACATACTTCATTTGTCACAACATGACATAACTCATTAACTGCCCGGGAATGGACACCAACTGACACAACCCTCACAAATTGCAACTTGACGTCAAACCAATTAATAATGCCCTAATATTAGAGCTAGTTACTTCAATTGATTGTAAAATTGTAGCTTTACACATTGACTCTAATTACGATACAATTGAAACAAGTTGACAATTTGACCATAATTTTATTCAGAAAGACGCATTATGTAACGTTAACAATATTGTATATCTTCTAGGTTAATTTAATCATGAGCAATTAAATTATGCATATGAAGCGTAATACCAATTGCAACCCCAAATAAAATGTCCGTGTTATGTTTTAATCACTTTTATTTCATTAAATTTGTTAAATTTCACACTAAACAAACATGCCATGTCGTCGCACACAATACTATCCGTCATTCGGACATATCGCCATCGAATGCGGCCTGACGTTAATATTAAAATATTAAAAATTAAAATATTTTGTCATATTTTACTGTTTGTATACGACCAGACAAGAATATAGCCCGTATTGTATACGATGCTGACGTAATTCCAACGAATACGTTATGGTTAAAAAGAATAGTTTTAATTTAAAGAGGTAGATAAAAAAAATGGTCAATTTTAAGAGAACATTGATCTACTCTGATATATTATCAGAACGGATCGATCACACCCAGTGTTTCGGAGCCTCGCGAGATACTGGTCTAGTAAAACCCGCTCGAGTCAAGATACAAGTTTTAGTAATACCTTTAGTTGAAATATACGTGTACATAACCTCATCATGATGTGTGCATGTAAACACAACAAAGAAACTGGACAGCTGTCCCTTTGAACAAATTGATAGCCTTACTACAAACATAAACTACGTGAAGTGTTCTTATTTCAAATATATATATTTACAAATATATGCAGATAGATGATTGTGACCTAAACTTATTGTTTATTTTTCAGTAAACAATTGTTATTGGTATTGATATGTATCACCATTTACAAACTCTGACATCTGTATTTCATTATCATCATTTTTCTCTACTGAACTTCGCCTTGAAGCTACAGACGCACTGTCGTCGGTCATATCATATGAACGCTTTGTTCTGGTAAAGTCGTTAAAATTAAGCTTGAAAATGTTTCCTTTACGTGCAGCGGTCATCTGTTTAAAATGACGACTCCATTTCACTTCTGATGGGAGGTATGATGTCCTAGCATGTACAAAACTGTCTGTGAACTCATCAACGCCTTCGACCACAACAATAATCTCGTAATCACCCTTTAAAAAGTCTTTGCGATTAAAGTCCCAGAACGGACTACTTTTGTCAATAAGGTGTCTGAACACTTTAGGTCTAAAGAAAAGTCGTGAGCTCTCGTGACAAGGATTAAATTCCATATCTAGTCTACATTTCCCAGACCCATCTTCTCTATTCATGATGCATAGTGCTGCAACTTTTGGGTCTATTAGCTGAGATCGTTGCATATTTAATATCTGAATCTCGATAAAATATACATCATCTTCCTCATAAACACATGCAAATTTGCTGAATAATACAGTGTGAGCTCTTCTTTTTGGAGATTGAAATTTAAATAGAATAACTCCAGTTATGGCTGTTAAAATCAAGACTCCTAGTATAGACTGTATAACAACTAATATAATAGCAGTTGGACACTCGTCTGTAACGTAGCGCGTGCCATATCCAATCGTTGTCTGAGTTTCCATGGAAAACTGAAACATTTCTAAAAAGTTATGGACGTCCTCAACGCATGGTATTGTTTCACCATCTGTCGGTACAAAGTCGCCATTTGCTTCAGCAACAACAAAATAAAGCAATGCAAATGTAAACCAACTTAACAGAAAGCAAGTTAAGAAAATTAAACAAATCCAAGCTGACTCTAGTTCTACAACTGAAATGAAAATGTTTGGATAGAAGAATTTCTTAGAGCTAGGATTATTTGCAAGTTTCACGGTTGTGTTACCACTTTTTGTAACTATTCTAAAGTCTTCTTGTTGACTACTATTCACCAAGTCGAAAATGTCTACTATAGACCTCCGTCTTGTGCGTGGTTTCCGTTCCATATGTCCAATGTTATGAGCACCTAAATTACTAGCGAGTATATAGCAATAGTGTTTTATGTGTAGTTGACAATTTTCCTGAAATCTGTTGATATATTATCTCCATGTAACTTAAAATTGAATGATTTTGATAAACGTCACAAATTATCTAAATTCCGGGTATTTTAACAATCCTTCAGTTGTAGTTCTTCAATTCACTTCTTAACAATCGCGCAAAAATCCATTCCGCCCTCACATATTCATTTCAATTTGTTAATTAAATTAACAAGCATAAACGTATTTCGACACACAACAATGCTAATTAAGTACGTATTTATTTATATATCAAGGCGTTCTCCTTTTCACAACAAGTATCCAAGTGAATCTCTTAAAAACAGTATGTGCGTTTTCGTAGAAAGAGATCGCCCAGTGCAATAAACACCATAAAACCATATTTATAACAACATCGTGACATTGGTAATAAACTAATTGTGTACCTGTCATTCATTTTTTTATCTGAAGTGATACTCATATCAAATACACAGTGTTTGAATATTTTCGTATCATGCATCAATTTAAAGCTTGATAGATTGCAAATGTGCAAAGCATTCTAATGTTATTATTTCGTAACAATTTATATCGGTAACTACGACAGCACAGCTATTGTCTTAATCTATGTCTTTACTTTATACGGAGCTATTTGGATAAGATTGTCATTGTTTTACTACTTGCCCGCATTTAATATTCTAATTTGTGCGAACAATAAACGGGAGAGAGGATCACCTTGACGTTTAAACTGTCATGTCAACGTTCCGTAAATAAACAGTCTAGTTTAACAGTTACTGACGCTGTTGGAATAAGAAGAATGGGATGGTCTCAGTTAAAGGTATGTCAATTTTTCATGTATTTAAATTGTGAGGCACACGAGAAGCTTTTACATTTAACTAGCCTCGAGACACGTAATATAGATTTCTATTATTTATGATTCTTGCGTGTAGAAATAACAACACGTGCTCAAACGCACGTTTGATATATGTAAAATGATGAAATAACCAAGATTGGTTTGTTATAACAACGCAACGATATCATTGTTTGGTGTACATGTATATATATTTCTGTGGTAGCCATTACATGTTGCGGTCGCCGATAGAAATAGATTATAATTAAACAAATAGTGTTATAATTACGGAAAAACTTTTAAGATGGGTGGGTCTTCCCAAAATATTGATACATGTATTGGTCTTAATCAGACCTCGGAGGACATTAACATAGAGGTTTATCAATATCTTAAAAACAGATTCATCCGAAACCTCAGTTATCAGTAGCAACGTTTATGTGTAGTTATTGCAAGTATTATGGAATTAAATTTTATTATGTTAAAGTCTTAATACTTTGTAGATGTAAATAAAAATGTTTGTTAAGCACAATTCATAGATGAACAATACTTCAAAGCTAGATGATGTCATGTATTGCTTAAAATTAAAGTTATTTATGGAATAATCCTATTATTTGTTTATGCTTTTTCAGAAAGAAATTTTCGGTATCTTCCCGTGGAACTGGAGAAAGTTGCAAAGAAAGTCTAAAATTTACGAAAGTAATGCGTCAAGAATAATAAATAGAGAGGGAAAGGTGAAGATTGTCTTAGATCAACTTAGTTTTGGCAAACGTCGAAGATATTGGCGCAATCCTTTACCAAGTTTGCTTAGTTTACAATGGAGGTGGATTATGGTTATTTTTGCCCTTGGTTTTATTCTTACTTGGCTTTTTTTTGCCGTTATCTACTATATCATTGCATTGACTCACGGTGACACCGAACCAAATGAAGATCCAGATTTTACACCATGCATGAATAGTGTAAATTCTTTCACAACGGCTTTTTTATTTTCTTTGGAAACACAACACACAATCGGTTACGGGAGTCGTAATCCAACCTCTGAATGTAGTGAAGCTGTTGTGGCAGTTTACGTTCAGTTCATAATTGGTGTAGCTGTGCAATGTGTGACAGCCGGTCTGGTTGTTGCTAAGTTACAGTCGGGAAAACGTACGTCGAAAGCTATTACATTTAGTGAGAAAGCAATAGTTGGTAAATGTAATGACAATGTGTGTTTAATGGTGAGAATAGGAAACGCTGGGGTCTCTGAACTCGTTAATGCCAAGGGATTCGGAATGTTAATGGAAAGGAAGAAACTGACGGCCGACGAGGAAATTTTAAACGAATCATTTCTGACATTTATTTCAGAAAACGGAAGTGAAAATTTGAACTTGCTGTGGCCAATGGTACTCCATTGTCAAATTATAGAAAACCAGAAAGAATTTCTTCAAAAGATGCAAAGTCCACAGTGTGAATTGATAGTTATAGTAGAAGGTGTCCTTGCTGCAACAGGGCAAACCATGCAGCTAAGAATGTCATACCAAGCACATGAAATAGAAATTGGTAAACAATTTGTTGACATAAGTCCTGTTTTAACAAAAAACAAAACTGGTAAGAAATATCACTACCTTGTAGATTATAAAGATTTCGACATGACTGAAATTGATGAGCAATGGGACGATGCTTTGCTTCATGATTCACAGAACAATGACTGTGTTTAACTGATTTCCCAGCTCTAGAGGAATATAGGATAATGGCATAAGCTTGCTCTGTATACAACCTACGGATGCTTACTTACAAGATAAAAAATACTATGATCGATATTCCTATATGTCAAAAAGGGCAGTGGAAATACAAACGATTTTTTTTATATACTTGTAATTGCAAATGTGAAGTAAACAAAATTATGATAGTGATTAAACTTACAACTAATATATTTCAGACCTTAGTGAAAGTGCTGTCTACAAACCTGCAAAATGCAAATCACTAAAACTGTTTGTTAATTAGGGAAAATACTTATAATATAGAAATTTCAAATCAATGTCTTATTTATTTATAACAGAACATGTTATTTTTGTGTGTAGATAAACCAAAGTGTCGGCTATTTTGGTGTGTAGATAGGGACGCCATGCTTTTTTGCGGTTGATGTTTCAGTAGAGTTTTACTTGATAAAATTCAAGCTTAAAATGACAGATATTTCGATGGCTGAACGCAACACTGGTCTAACTTGATTTTTACAAAATTTCAAGGAGGCTATAAAAACTTAATTAATTCTATAAATTGGAAATTTTTGTTATTATTTTTTGATTTTTATATCCATAGAAGTTAAAATTTTAGTTAAAAGGAGTTTCATAAATTAATATTGTTAAATAAAAAAGATATTTTAAAAGATATGAGTTAGATCAGTTTTTCCATTTATAAATCACCAAATTTTTCAATGATAAATTTTCAGCAAAAACTGGTCTAACTTGACTTAGCCCTATGTTGCATTTACAAAAATGAGTTCAATAAGGCCATAAGAATAATAAATAAGTGCTATGTTTGAAAAAATAGGATGATATAATATAAAAAAGCTGTAACTATAACCATATTTTAGTATTATTTTAAAAGAAAACAACTTTCTATGGAAAACCGACATGTTAATTTATACAAAATTGACATCTTTTGCAAAACATACTAGAAATCAGACAATCTTAAAAGTCAGTTGTTTTTATCACATAAAAATATTTTAGAAAAAAATTCTAAATTATAGTTTCAGTTCGGAATGAATGTTTTGTAGACAAGATATAAGATTTTTTTACATAAAGCATTATTCAATGTAACATTAAAATTGAAGCACATACTCATAACTGAAAAATAGAAGCATGTATATAAAACTTGTAATTCTAAAAACACAGGCAATATTATTCAAAATGAAACTAATTTTTGCCTATTGGATCTTCATTTATATTTTCAAGTTTATTTATGTCGTCAGAATTTCAAGAAAAATGTTAATCTTAGGAACATTTTGCATAAACTAAAGTTATCTCTCCAAGTTGCCAACAAAAAAACTTTGCCCTCTCTTTGTAATTAAACTTGGCATGGCACTTGTATCTATAGAGTTTTTGTCCACCTTCCTTTCTCATTATCTGTTATATTCAATTTTTTTGTCAGATTTTTAAACATAATTGTTTCCCATATTCCTATTACAGTAATTCATTTACATTTCTCTTTTATCCATCATCATTCTTACTTTTTATCTAATATTTTCCCCATTTAATAACTATTTTTCTATATTACATAAAACATTTTTTCCCCGTTTAATAACTATTTTCTATATTACATAAACTATCATTTTAACCATTCTCCACTTGCCAGCACTGACATCACCAGCATAATGATATCAAAAACCCCAATTTCACCTTCAAAATGATTAACAGCATTTTTATTACCATCACCATATCCTCGGGCTCTTATATAAACAGCATTGTCTCCACTAGCCCTTATTAACCAACATTACTATTCTGAATACTCATGCTCACCCCACTATCTTCCTCACCATCATATAAGCAGCATTGCACCAAATTAGACCTCATTACATCAGTATTGTCATCAAATCAACTTTTATCATTCAGCATTGTCATCCTCAGCATTTTATTTTAACGAGATACACTCCTCCTATTCCCTCTAAACTATAATTAATATCACCGGATATTGTCCCCACTACCCTTATAATACCAAACATTGCCCTCACTATTAACTATAATATCACCTAGTAATTGTCCCCACTAACCCTTATAATACCAGCATTGCCCCAACTAACTATAATAATCACAGTATTGTCCCTCTAATCTTTATAATACCAGCATTGTCCCAACTAACTATAATATCACCAGCATTGTCCCCACTAGTTATAATATTACTAGAATTGTCCCCACTAACTATATTATCATCAGTATTGTCCCACCATCAGTATTATCCCAACTAACCCTCATATCACCATCATTATCCCCATTTACTATGATATCACCAGCATAGTCCCCATTTTAACTATGATATCACCAGCATTGTCCCAACTAGCCCTCATATCATCAGTATTATCCCCATTTACTATGATATCACCAGCATTATCTCCATTTACTATGATATCACCAGCATTGTTCCCATTTTTAACTATGATATCACCAGCATTGTCCCAACTAACCCTCATATCATCAGCATTGTCCCCATTTACTATGATATCATCAGCATTGTCCCCATTAACTATGATATTACCAGCATTGTCCCAACTAACCCTCATATCATCAGCATTTGTCCCCATTTACTATGATATCATCAGCATTGTCCCCATTAACTATGATATCACCAGCATTGTCCCAACTAAACCCTCATATCACCAGCATTGTCCGCATTTACTATGATATCATCAGCATTGTCCCAACTAACCCTCATATCATCAGCATTGTCCCCATTTACTATGATATCATCAGCATTGTCCCAACTAACCCTCATATCATCAGCATTGTCCCCATTTACTATGATATCACCAAGCATTGTCCCAACTAACCCTCATATCACCAGCATTGTCCCCATTTTACTATCATATCACCAGCATTATCCCTTTATCAGCATTGGCCCCACTAAATATAAATATATCATCAGCATTGTCCTCACTTTTTTCTTAAACATTTCTTTTCTTTTCTTGTTGGGTTTTTATGTTGCACTTACACAGTAGAGGTCATATGCAATACTCCAGCTTTCCCAGTGGAGGACGACCTTCAAGTACTCAAGTTCTGCTGCTTCATGTTTGTAACATCCGAGGTTGGCCTATAAGGAATTTACACCGGCTGCCGGTACAGACTGGAATATCTAACTGAGGGTAATTTTTTATGGCGGGTAAAGAGACTGCAGAGTTTCCGCTACACAGTTACCCAAGAGCTAGAATATTCCTGTTCTGTTGACAACAGCTTGTGTTTGATTTTTTTTTCTCGCATATTACATATTAGTGATATTTCGTAAAGAAATGATGATTTACTAATACTTTCATTTAGCACTTTTCCTTATAGTAGCATATGACTTATGATGTCATCTTTAGAAAGCAATTCATTCATAAAAGGCGCTTGGGAATGACTTCATTAATAAGCATTGACTTGTTTTACATGGGGGGATGTAAGACAGGTTTTTTCTAGCACCAGTGTTAACAGATTAGATAATCCTATCTGATATGCAAGAAAAAATCTTTCCTGTTTTCAGCGACATAGGACCTCAATTGTGTTGGTGCTGTAAAACCAACCAAACCAAAAGTTTTTATTTAAATGATTACAAGCCTTGTACATACAGATACTTAAAGAAACTTCACTGAGGTCCAAAAAGCGTAAAAAACTTAAGATTTTGAATTTCTGAAATGAATCAACTCGGGCCACATAAACAAAAAGATACACAAGAGATATAAAGAAATTATTCTTAACATGAAATTGAAAATTTTATCATGGTTCTATTAGTATCTAATTTTGAGTTTTAAAGCTGTACTCATATGCTTTTTCAAATATTCGGTCATTTTTATAGTTCACATAACTGCTCTGGAAAAAACTTAATAAATAATAATCTGAAAGTTTTAACACCACAAGTTATTTGTCCGGACCGTCATCAAATTGTACATAAATCTCGAAAATATATTTCAAGTCCCATGATGCCAAAATTGGAGTCCCTTTAAGAATTAGGAGTAAATCGTATTAAATAATTATAAAATCTTGAAATTTTTAAAGGGTGGGATATCTTGTTTCATCAGTATTAATAGATCACTATGATTAAAAACAACAACAAAAAACAACACAAATTGTCTTGTAAATAATTTTCACCAACAGTGAATTATATGATTTGAATATTATAATGAATCTTTTTGAAAGGTTAATTTACTATTATTTTTTATTTCAATCTTATAATTATGACTATGTAGAGATAATATAGCAATTTTTAAACTTTATTAAAACACAAAATAGAATTAATTAAGAGCCTTGGATTTACAATTCTGCAATTTGGCAACAAAAATGGGTAAAATGTAGAAATAAGTATTTATGAATATGCCAGACCTAACTTAATATCTGCAAAATATAACAATACTGATTTTTATTGTATTGAAATTAAACAGCAACACTCTGCTAACTAGAGTTAGTACAGTGTTATCATCCAATAAGTAAATTTTGATTAATGCAACACAGTTCTAACTTGAGTTAGCTCTCTGTTGCATTTAAGTTATAATCACATTTGAGATAGAGCAAAATGCCAAGTGGTAAATAAAACCCATAAAATTTCACAAATATTTTTAATATTTTATTTACTGATGTATTTCATGCAATTAGACTAAAAAATGCAAAAAAGTCATTTTTGAAAAAAAATCAAGTTAGACCAGTCTTGCGTTCAGCCATCGATTTCTTGATCTTTACCGGCTTTCAGTTTATGCAATCAATTAGTCAATATTACTTAACTTGAGAACTATTGTTTTCAACGTTATTTGGCCTTTACTGATTTTTCTAGTACTGACACTGTTGAAAAATGAACTACTACTGTTCCTGTTTTAACACGACATTTTCAATCTAAACACTTAACGCAGTGGTCCCCCTTTACATCGCTTCACAGACGAAGCCAATTAAAACTGCGAAGTTTGTCTTTTTTATACCCCACGTCATAATTTAGGATCAGCCGTTTTACGTTTTCGAATAAGCTTTTTAAACTAAAGTAAATGTTCGTAAAAGTCTCTTTTTTAATTTGATTATATTTAATCATATCAGGGCTACATAACTAAACCTTAATACACAAATACAAACATTTAAAACATCAAAATACAGTAGAATTAACAAATTAACGCTCCTACTAGTCGCTACAACTAAAGAAAGAAATCATTCTACATATAAATTACGACGCATTTAGCACAACATCGAAAAGGTAAAGCAAAAACTAAAATTTAGAAAAGCAATCATGTCAAACCCAAAATGTTTCCTTGACATAACTATTAGTGGAAAGCCAGTCGGTAGAATTGTCATGGAGGTAAGAGCTTTTCTTTTTGCACATCGAATCATATTGTGATATGTGAATTGAAATTTTATAGCTCTT